GAGAGCTGCTAAGAGAGGAAAGTGTGTATAGAGATTTGCAGGGGGGCCTAAGTTGCTGTCTCCCTGCTGGCTTGTTTTCCCCTAACCTGTGGGGATGATGCCAAAGGCTCCAAGATTCTCTTTTAAATTGCCTGAACCGGGATCCTCCCCGGTGGCGCAGCGGTTGATGGCGCAGCGGTTGATGGCGCGCAGACCTCTCCTGCCACCCAACTGCTCCCCTCAGCAGTGTACTTCGGTCCTTCTGCCTGCTCTGCTCCCCACTCTGGCTCTGGTGAATTCTCTCACCCTCCCGCGCCTCTGACTGTACCCAGTGCTTGTATAAATAAATAAATATTTTTAAAAATAATAATAAATTGCCTGAACCAATAATGAACCTACCCAGCCTGGGATGGTTGCAGAACAGAAAGTGTAGGGTAAGGTAAAAAGCATCAGGCTTTTCTGCCCTCCCGCCATTAGGATTGATGGTGGATCCTTGCGGTCCTGAATGCATGCCTGATGGCGGGCCCTGGAGTAGGGTGTGGGCATGCGTAGATGGGATACACCTTGCCTGAGAGACTGGGTTTATAAGGGCGGTGTCACAGGGACGCCAGAAGAACCAGGAGAGAACGGACAGAAGAGCAGAGAAGAACCATGAGAAGCAGAGCGAATGCGAGAGAAGGCCGGAGAGCCCAGGGAGAGTGAAGACTTGCTGGGGGCTGGGAGGACTGCCAGCCTCCCGGGCCACCCCCCCCCCCCACACACACACCCCTGCTGCTGTGTACCTGGTAAATCCTAATGAAAGCATGAAAAGCCACTGAGGGCTCCAGGACTCCTCCTTTACCCGGTCTGCTCGAATCATAGAAAAACCTGCTCTGCGGCCATCCTGGCCCTACAGAAAGTAACTGATTTTTTTTTTTAAAGATTTATTTATTTATACAAGAACTGGGGTACAGGTCAGAAGTGTGGGAGGATTCACCAGAGTGGGGAGCAGAACAGGCAGACGGACCTAAGGCACTGCTGAGGGGAGCAGCGGGTGAGGCAGGAGAGGTCTGCTGCACCATGTGGGGGTTCTCCCTGGAAGGTGGGGAATCGAACTAGCGCTGCAGAGGCTGCAGACAGCTTCTCAGCGCGGTGCTCAACCACTGCACCACTGGGGAGGCCCAAGAAAGTAACTGATTTATTTGAAGTTTACTATGTGCCAAATACTCTTCAAATAACTTACGTGCTTTAATTCACCTAATCATTAAAATAAACCAGTTTGCTGATGAGAAATCTGAAGCACAGAGTTTGAGAAACTTACCCTCAGTCACACACTCCTAAGTGGCAGTGCCAGGGCTGGGACCCAGAAAGCAGGCTCCAAAATCTGTCATCAGGGGGCCTCCCTGGTGGCGCAAGTGTTAAAGATACAGCACTGTCAAGCTGCTGCCAGCCACTGCAACATGAGTCCGATCCCTGGCCAGGGAGGTGACCCACATGGCACAGCAGACCTCTCCTGACTCACCCGCTGCTCCCCTCCCAGTGTATTTCAGTCAGTCTGCCTGTTCTGCTCCCCACTCTGTCTCTGGTGAATCCTCTCACACCCCACACCTTTGATCTACACCCCAGTTTTTCTATGCATAAATAAATATATCTTGAAAAAAAGTCTGTCATTCAAGGAAGTGATAGGCACTTAGCAAGGAGAATCACAAGATTACTGATGGTGGTACATGCCAGAGCACTTTCAGTTCCCCAGGACTGAATGCATTTGGGGGATAGGGGTCTCAATCAGGATGAAATCCCCACATCAGATTTCAATCAGCATCCTCTGTGGTCTGAGCCCCCCCCCCCATAAATACACACACACTTACTCACATATACACACACACACATGAAACAGATGAAACAGTTGTGGATAGGGTTCAAAGGGCTGAAAGCATTCGCTTGAGATGGATGTACGGAAGCTTCTATGCTAATCAACAGGTGCAAATGCCTGCCACTAGTAGAGAGAGGAATCTCCAATCCACAGTCCTGAGTCAGGCTAGCTCCTGCCCTACAGACCCTGTAACAAGCATGTTCCAAAGGATCTTCTAATCGCCACTGTCATTTTACCTGTAACGATGTCAAGTGTTGAGCATTTACAGATTGTATTTGTCAGAACTCTTGGGTGCAAGATCAGAAGACTAACTTAAAGTATATATTTTTTAAAAGATTGATTTTATTTATACAAGAACTGGGGTACAGGTCAGAGACACGGGAGGGTGAAAGAATTCACCAGAGACAGAGCAGGGAGCAGAACAGGCAGACAGACCGAAGACATTGCTGAGGAGAGCAGAGGACGAGGCAGGAGAGGTCTGCCACGCCATGTGGGTTTCTCCCTGGCTGGCCAGGAATCGAACCCATACTGCAGAGGCTGAGGATAGCTTCACAGTGCAGTGTTCAACCCACTGTGCCACCGGGGAGGCCCTTAAAGTATTTTTAACAGAAAGAGGAATTTATTGGCTCATTGACCAAACCATAGAAATGACAGGGATGAATCATGATCTAAGATACTCTGCCTCCCTCATATCCCTGCCTGTCCTTGCACACAAGCTTCAGTTGCTCTGTTGCTTCAGTTTTGTCACTGGGAAAAGAATATGGTCACCTGCATTTTCCTCAAATGAGGAAGGACTTCCTTCCAGACAGAAGAATGGCCCAGAAGAAGGAAGTTTCCTGCCCCTGGGGATAGAGAGAATTAAGAGGGGAGGATGATAGCTTTTCCAGAGAATGGGGAGAGGGAGTCAGCAGTTGGGAATTCCTGCCCCAGAAACAAGGTTAGCTTTCATTAATTCCTTCAACAGGTATGGGAAGACTTATGACATGTAGAGAGATGTGCTAGACACCATGACAGGGCTGGGCTGGGGAGAAGGTGATCAAGGTAACAGTTGTGTCCTGAGACCTTTCACTTTACTACAAATAATTCAAGGAGGTGACATGAGTAACTGAAAGAGGGGGAGGTACTATGGGATGCTCTCAGGGCATCAGGGAAGGCTTCCAGGAAGTGCTGATGCCCACATTGAAACCTAGTGGATAAATAGGAGTCAACCAGGTTTGGGTTTGTTGTTTTTGTTTGTTGTTGTTGTTGTGTGGTGGGGGGAGGATGCATTGGTAGGAAGAGAGGCAAAGAGAAGAGTTCTGAACTAAAAGGATCGATGTGTAAGGGCTGCGGAAAAAGTCCTGGTGAGGGGGAGGCAGGCTGCAGCACTGGCATGGAGGACGTTGTGGGTCAGACTGAGGGCTTGGATTTGATCCTGAAGGCAATGGGGAGCCACAGGAGGTACCAGGAGAGCAGTGACTCTGCTTTCCCAATTCTGCGATCCCTCCGGCTCTCTCTAGTGGGTGCACACCAGCGGGGAGGACTTTTGAAGCAGTTTTAGAAGTTTAGACTTAGCTAAAAAGTGACTTGAAAAAACATCTCAAAGAAATGCCCTGATATGGAGTAGTTACAGAAATGGGGTGGGGGGGGGTAAGTGGTCCTTGAATGTAGCAGAGAAAGGATCCCCTGAGGGTAGTCATGCTCCCCACTGTGCTGGTAAAAGGGAGAGAGGTGTTCCAGGAGCCTTTCTCTCATCCCCAAGGCCTTTGGTTGGTAATAAAGAGGTGTCCTTCACCCGGCTTCTTGGGTCTGGATTCCCCATCTGCAGGACCCCCCAAGATTTGGATGGAAAAAAGGGGCTGAGCAGGGAAGCTATACTCCAGCTGGTGAGTTGTGGGGCCAGAAGAGTTCTGTTCTCCTGTGACGATTCTGCGTGTCTGCTTGTCCCACAGCGTGGAGGACCACATCAGTGGCAGGGGCCAGACTGCCCGGGTGGTTTTCCTGGAGCACAAAAGGGCCCCGGGAGAAAGAGGGTATGAGAGGTTGAAGGAAAAGGGGCATTTAGTTACTCCCCTGCACACACATTTATCACATGCCCTCTGTGCCACGGGTGCTGGGGACTCAGTGAAAGTGGGGGAGGGAACTGAGCCGGGTACTGTGGGAGGTGAGCGGCAGCGAGGCAGGGCCCCAGCAGTGCAGGGCAGGGTTGTGTGGCTTTTCAGGACAAGCCGGGATGGAGGGAACTCAGCTGGCTCCTCTGACCCTCCCCCTGCTCAATCCACCACCATCCTTCTGCCCCCTGGGCGCTTCAATTCCTGTGGCTCAGCTCCGCAGAGACTCTTCCTCCTGGGTCCTGGCCTGTCTCTCTGAATCTGGCCCTCGGCGTGTGTACCACTGTCCCCATGTTGTCTCATGTCCCTCCTGATCTCCATCCAAACCCTTCCTTCAGTCCATGGCTCATCCCTGTGCCTTCTCTGCCCCCGAGCCGGCCTCCCGGTCCTCTGCGTCTCTCCCACCCTGTGAGCCTCTCCGCCTGGTCCCCATGCCCATCCCTGCTTTTCTCTTGCACATGTTTCACCTTCGTCTATGTCTGTCCTTGTCTCCCTCCTGCCCCCCGTCCGTGTACCTGCACCTCTTGCCCCTTCTTCCAGCACCGTTTCTGTCCCTTTTCTGCCCCTGACTCCGCCTCTGTCTGCTCTGCAGCCAGGTCCCCGGGCAGGGCTCCGTTTCCTCCCGTCCTCGGCTCCGCGCCCCTCCCGGGCCTCCAGCGCGGTCCCCGCCGGCCTGGGACCTCGCTGGGGGCGGGGCCGAGGGGCCGGCTTGGAATAACTCGGTTATCAGCACGAATTGAATTAACTTCTTCACACGAGCGCCGCCGGGCCTGTCTCCCCTGCCTCCTGCGAGGCCGCAGATGGGGAGGCCGGGGAGAGGGGTCGGGACCCTCCAGCGGGGCCCGCTCCGCGGAGACCGGGCAGGGATGGGAACTCCGGGGACCGGGCCCCGCGCGGCCCCGCGCGGCACTTCGGGAGCGCCGGGCGGGTGCCGGGGACCCTTCGGGGTGGGGGTCGGGGGCGGCTGTGGGCGGGGTCTGGGCCGCCCCGGCCCCGCCCCGCGGAGCTCGCCCCGCCCCGCCCCCTCCGCGGGGTCCTGCGCGTTAAAAGGCGCGCGGGCCGGGCCGGGCTGCACTCGCGCTGCGCCCGAGCAGAGCGCGGCCGCGACGGGGCGGGCGGACCCGTGGGCGCTCAGAGCTGGCCTCGAGTCCTCGGCGCCCGGCGCTCGGCCCCCCCGTCCTGACCCCTCTCTGGCCCGGGACCCCGACCCGGACCCGGCCCGGCACGGCCCCCGCCCCCGCGCCCCCGGGCCGATGGACTACTCCTACCTCAATTCGTACGACTCGTGCGTGGCGGCCATGGAGGCGTCCGCCTACGGCGACTTCGGCGCCTGCAGCCAGCCCGGCGGCTTCCAGTACAGCCCCCTGCGGCCCGCCTTCCCCGCCGCAGGGCCGCCCTGCCCCGCGCTCGGCTCCTCCAACTGCGCGCTGGGCGCCCTGCGCGACCACCAGCCAGCGCCCTACTCGGCAGGTGAGCTCAGCCCCTGCCCGACCCGCCCGCAGATCCCGAGGAACCCCCGCCCCTTGTCCTGCGCAGCAAAGGACTCCGACGGCCCCTCACAGCCTCTCCTCCCTGTCCGGGCCAGACTCTCCAAAGCCCCGCGGAACCCCGAGTCCTCACTGTTAAGACGGGGTTCCCTCTGGCAGCGTCGAGCCCCACCCTCTCCTCCTTCCCGTTCGTTGCCCTCTGCCAGATCCCTGTCCCAGGCCCTTCGGGTCAAGGAAATAGATTCCCTGCGTCCCTAACCAGGCCCTGCCTTCGCCACCAAACCTTTCATGCCCAGTGTCCTTGGAAGTCGCTCAGTCCAGTCAGACCCCCAACCTTGTCACCGCCACCCCTCTTCATTCCCGGCACCAGCAAGGACCCCTGCCCTGCCGCGCAGCTGCCCAGATGGGAACTTTCCTAGAACCTCAGGCCCCTCCTGCCCCCTTTTGGACCCATTTCACCTGAACTCAAACCCTCCCACATCCCTAAAATATCTAATGTGCCAAAAAGAAAATATCTAATATGCCAAGGGGAAAAAAGTGCCCAGGTCACTAAACCACTTTAATTTCCCCATTTCCCTGGAGACTCCTCGGGCTGGAGTCCCGCAGGACCCAGAAGCAGCACCTGCAGCAGCCAGGCCTCCGACCCAAGGCCCCACCTGAGCCCACACCTCAGGGGGCCTCTCAGTCACCCTCCCCCGTTCTCCCCATTACTGTTCCTCCTGCCCAGCCCAGTCTGCTTATCTCCTTTCCCAGAAAGACCAGCAGGAACCAAGTAAAAGATTGGGGTGTGGGTGCGGAGGCAAGGAGAGGGCTGGCGAGAGAGGGATCTGGGTTTGGAAAAATGAGAACCAGGAGAGGGAGCCAGAAATGGGTCTGGGATGGGGAGACTGGGGACTCAAGGCGGGTGGGGGTGAGGATTCGGGAGCTGGGGACAGACGATGAGGAGATGGGCCCGGGAGATGGAGACACGAGACGGGCCGGGTACAGTGAAATACGGGCAGAGCTGGTAGGAGTGGGGACCCGGGATTCGGGAGGTGCGGGTAAGAACCAGGTGGTGAAGACAGGAACTCCTGGGAGATGAGGACCAAGGAAGATTGGGATAGAGGTGAGAAAGGTGGGGCTAGGACCAGGGTGTTGGACACAAGGATTCGGGAAGATGGAGAACTAGAGAGGGAGGACAAAGAGGAAGGATGGGTAGACCCCTGGAAAAACGTGGAGACCCACACAGGGGTTGGAGGAGGCGATGGGGAGAGAGTGACAAACACATTGTGGGACACTGGGGACTGGGGTGGGGTGAATGGGAGACAAGGATGAGAGGAAAGTGAAAGGGGTGAGGCAGGCTTTGGGGGACACAGAGAGAGATGTAACTAGGATGAAGAAGGGCAGAGAGAACATGGAGAAACCCGACTGGTGAGAAATAAGGCCCTACTCCATGGCACAAAAAGAGTGGTCCGGAAGGGAAAAGTTGAAGAGAAATGCAGACCCGGGGGATGGGGGAGGGGTGGAGAGACACCTGAGGGCGAGTGGGGATGGGGAGTCGAGGTAGGGCTGAGCAAATGAGGAGTGGGGAGGAAGGACATATTGGGGGCCGAGGAGGGCAAATCCTCGTGGCAGGGAGCCATGGCCGGGTGGAAAGTAGGCCCAGGAAGGTGAGGAGCCTCTGTCAGACCTGAGATGCGGAATTGACCTCAGGCTGGCCGTGCCCACGAGCTCGGACGACCGAGGCCGGGGCGCACGGGGCAGCCTGGAGTCAGGCGGGGAGACTGAGCTGGGGGAGACGCAAAGTAAGGGCAGAGGAGGTGGACTGGCGGGGAGCGGAGCAGCGCGGCGAGACCGAGCACAGCTTGGCGATCTGGCCCGAGATCGGATTCTGTTTCCCTCGCTCTGCTCTGGGGCCTCGGGCCTCCCGCATCGGCCGCCGCTCGGGCCCCGTGGCGCTCTAGGGAAGACGCTAGACCCGAGGCTGCGAGGCTGCAGCGAGGCCGGGCGCGGGCGAGGGGCGCCGAGCGACCCGGCCCGGGCAGAACACGGCAGGCTGAGGGCGGCCCCTCACACGCGCCCCTCGTTGCTCCCTTCCCAACCCCGCACACACCCGCAGTGCCCTACAAGTTCTTCCCGGAGCCGTCGGGCCTGCACGAGAAGCGCAAGCAGCGGCGCATCCGCACCACGTTCACGAGCGCGCAGCTCAAGGAGCTGGAGCGCGTGTTCGCGGAGACCCACTACCCCGACATTTACACGCGCGAGGAGCTGGCGCTCAAGATCGACCTCACTGAGGCTCGCGTGCAGGTGTGTGCTCGCGCGTCTGTGTCTGGGGGGAGGGCGTGTGCGCCCCGGGGCTCCGGAGACCAGTGCCCAACACCTGGGGACCCCTGGACAACGGGACCGCCCTCCGCGGCCGGCAGGTGCGGTCTGGAAGCCGGGGGCTCAGGCTAGGGGCCCGGGCGCCGACGCGGACGGGGCTGGGCAGGAGAGGACGTGCAGCCGGGGAGAGGCAGAAGGACTTGGACTTGGCAGCCCGAAGGACCTCAGGAAAACGGAATTAGCTGTTCATTCCCACGTTTCCCGTGGCAGAACCCGGCGTGCGGAGTGATGCTTGGGGCGCCAGCATCGTGGCCGAGTGACTGAGGCTGCAGCCCGGCAGGGGGTGGGGGAAAGGCAGGGAGGTCTCAGGTCCCTTCCCAGCTCTGCGTTTGCGAAAGCGCTGAACCTGCGACGCCCGGGGCTCCAGGCAGGTGCAGGGCCCAGGCCTGCGGGCCGGGCAGACTCTGTTGTGTGTCTTACGAATCCCGAGCGTAGGCGTTGAGCTGGCCCGCCTTTATGGGACACCCTGGTTTCCCCGAGGACCCCGATCTGCTCTCCTTTGCGGGGAGACGCTCCAGGCGGAAACTCCGGAGCTTCCCGTAGGAGGGAGGGGGTCGGGGCGGAAAGCTTTGGGTGAGCAGGAGCGCGAAGGCGAGTCCCCTCCAGGAGACCTAGGGCACCGGGCACCTGGGGTGTGCGGGTGAGCAGAGCTTAAGGGGAAGATCCTAAGGACCTGGAGGAGGCGGCCAGGGCAGGAGCGAGCGGGAGGGCCGCGGAGGGCGCGTGGCCGAGCCCAGGCTCGGAGCGCCGACGGCCCAGCCCGGCCCCGCCGTTGGGAGTCTCGCTCCCGCCTGGCGGCCCCGGGTTGACCCCCCTGTGCCCGCAGGTCTGGTTCCAGAACCGCCGGGCCAAGTTCCGCAAGCAGGAGCGCGCGGCCAGCGCCAAGGGCGCCGCGGGCGCGGCGGGAGCCAAAAAGAACGAGGCTCGCTGCTCCTCGGAGGACGACGACTCCAAGGAGTCCACGTGCAGCCCCACGCCCGACAGCACCGCCTCGCTGCCGCCGCCGCCGGCGCCCGGCCTGGCCAGCCCGCGCCTGAGCCCCAGCCCGCTGCCCGCCGCGCTGGGCTCGGGGCCCGGGCCCGGGCCGGGGCCGCAGCCGCTCAAGGGGCCGCTGTGGGCGGGCGTGGCGGGCGGTGGGGGCGGAGGCCCCGGGGCGGGCGCGGCCGAGCTGCTCAAGGCCTGGCAGCCGGCGGAGCCGGGGCCCGGGCCCTTCTCGGGGGTTCTGTCCTCCTTCCACCGGAAGCCCGGCCCCGCCCTGAAGACGAACCTCTTCTAGCCGCCGGCCCCCGGAGCCCCCGGCGCGCCCCTGCCCCCCAGGACCTGACAGCCCCGCCCCACGCCCCGGGCCCCGGCCTGGAGGCCCGTCCCCCGCCGCGCCCGGCCCCGGGGCGGGCTCCCCCGGCCTTGGCGACACCGGGCCACGCCCGTCCCACCTGGCCCCGCCCGGCAGAGCGGCGGCTCTCCCCGGCCTCCGGAGAGCCCGAGACGCTCCCAGCCCGGCTTTCCCCGGAGCCGGGGTCGAGCAGCTCCCACCCGGGCGCGGCATCCCACGCGCGGGCCCGCAGCCCCGGCTCCGCCGCTGCCCGGGTCGCCCCCCGCCCCGTGACCGGCCTCGGGCCACCCGCACCCCCCCCCCCGCGGAGGGGAGGCCGGGCTCGGGACGCAGGGGCTTATTTCCTGACTTTTTGTTGTTGTTCTTTTCCTTTGAAAACTTGTAATTTATTGAGGTGAGTTTTGTTCAATCCAAATAAAACTTAATTTATTGAAGATATCACGCTGGCGACCTAGAATGGGGGGAGGCTGTGGCCGAGCCCAGCCCCGCGGTGGAGCCGCCGCCGGGCGCATCCCGGGCGGGGCGCCGCGGGCCCGGAGGGGCGAGGGCTCAGCGCGGGCACTTGGTGGCCGAGACGCTCCCCCGCTCCGGGCCGGGCAGCATTTAAGCGCCCGCCCTTCTAAACCCACAGAGAAGCTTAAATAACCCAGCCCGGCCCTCGGGCTAGTCCTTCATTTCCGGACGGTGGGGGTTTGAGAAGAAACCCGAGCTGAGCCCCTCGCCTGTACTTCAGGTCAGGTCTGGGGGGGAGGAGAGGGGCAGACGTACCCAATGGACCCCACAAGCACCCCTGAGGCTGCGGGGAGGGGCCGGGAAGGGAGGACAGCACCAGAATTACCACGGTCCTTGGGAACCACGGCAACTGACCTCCAGAGCCCCCCCAACCGCCCCCCAAAGCACTAAGCCTAAGGGCAGGGCGTCCTAATTCGGGCATTGCAAATTGCTGGGCAGTGGGGAAAGCAGATCCCCAATAAATAGGCAGCAGTGCCCCTCCCCTTGGAACTTCTCAACACCCGGGTCATGGGGGGGAGGGGCTCCTTCGTAGCGGGGTAAGGGCGCCGAGGTCACAGCTTCGCTGCGCCACCGCGATCACTTGTGAGCTGCAGGGTGTCCAGAAGGAGGCGCTTGTGAGCCGGGTCCTGCACCCCTGCCTCCTCCAGGTCTTCCTCTGTGATGTCGCTGCATGGGGTGAATGAGAGGCTGGGAGACAGGCCAGGCGGTGGAGGGCCCCTTAGCTCCGCCCCCAGGGGTAGCTCCACCCATCCGCCTCCGGCCCCGCCCCCACCTGAGAAACTCCAGGTCGTCCCAGCCATTGTGCACCAGGCCCTCCTCATAGCGCTCCAAGCCGATGGCCCGCAGCCAGGCGCCCATGCCCGCCTCGCCCATCCCGCCGGCCCGCCCGCCCTGTGGGCACGGAGCCTGAGGGAATAGGGCATGTCAAGGGAAGAGCATTGAGCGTTGGAGAGAGCATAAGGACACCACAGCTCATGGGTAAGCACACACCTCAGGTACACAGACCTCCACCCCCAGGCCACACACCTCCTCTGCCAGATCCTCCTGGATGCTCTCTCGGATGCGAGGTGGAGGGAAGCTGAGAGGCCGGCCATAGTCTGAGGGAAGTCCCCGGGGTGGCTGCAGCTCCAGGGGGCTTGGCAGGAGCACTGAACGGCCAGGCCCAGCAGGAGCATAGTCCACCTCACTCAGTGTCTTGGCCATCTGCAGCACTGAGCAGGAGCGATCATCCCCACTGACTACTTCCCCCAGGAAAGTGCTGGTGGGAGAGGGGCCTGGAGGCAGCGGGGGTCTTGGATGGGCTTTGGGAGGTGGTGGGCCACGGGCCTCACCCCCACCACGACCCCGGACCAGTGGCCCTGGCAAAGGATCCAGACTGGGGGGCAGAAAGATGGCAGAGTCTGGCAGTGGTGGGGGTGGAAAGTCTGGAGGGGGCAATGTGCCCCCAGACTCCTCATCAGATGAACTCCCCTCTCCCACACGGGGCCCCCGGTGGCGCCCAAGCTGTGGAGCAGGTACTGTTATGGCCACTTTGTTCTTGGTGGCAGATGGCACGGGGGCCCTGGCAGGCGAGGGTGGCTCCGGAGGCAGCAGTTGGTGTGGAACCCCTTCAAGGACGTAGTAGGCAGGGTTATTGAAGCTGTTCTTGGGTGGGGGAGTCGTCACCCCTTCCAGCTCGGGCGCCCCCTCTGGCTTTGACCTAGGTTTGGGAGCAGGATACCTGAGTCACGACCCAGAAATCCAAGGTAGAGGCAGTTGGTGCAGTGAAGGGAGAACTGGACCAAGGAGTCAGGAGACGTGGGCTCCTGGTCCTAGACCTGCATGTGGCCTCGAGCACATCACTTTCCCTCCCTGGCCCTTGGGAAGATGGGACAGGTGAATGGATAACCGCTAAACTTCCTTGTCTTGCTCCCCTAAGATTCTTAGATCTTTTATGACTGTGTGTAACTGAAACCCAGACTTAAACAGGTGAAAAGAAGTGCAGAAAGGTAAGGCAAAAAAAGGCTTCTCATGAGCTTAACCAGCCAGACTGGGAAAGCCTCCAGAGCCATCTGAAGTTAATCTACTGAGGACTCTTACTCGGGCATTCAAGCACCTTTTCCTCGAACCTGAGGATAAAACTGAGGTGACTGGCAACAGCTGAAGATGAGTGAAAAAGCACCAAACTCTACCTGGGAGTTTTTATTTCAATTCAGGCAACAATGGGATACAATTAGAAAGCATGCCTCACTGGTATGACCCGCCAACCACTAGTCTCCAGGATATTAAGTTATTGTGCAGAAAAAAGTTTTCTAACCATTAAGTTTGGGAAACTGTATTAAATACACTTGAAAAAGGGTTCTTTCTTAACCACAGCTCAGAACTTTGTTAATACTCATGTGCACTGGGAATAGCTACGGAAAGAATCTAGCAAGAACCATTTCCCAGACTCATCTGACCACAGAACTATTTCAGTGGGTGCCCTCAGAGGAGTGTTCCACAGCACTCACCTAGGAGAACTCCATGCTGAGGCACAGGCCTTCTCCAAACAGAAGGCTCCAGCTCAGTCTGTGTACACAGAAAGCTGCTGCAAAAACAATTTCTGAATTCTACTTTTTTAAGGCAGAATCAAGAGAGGAAAGACTGACTGTGCTCCCTTTGATGCAGAGAACCACACCTAAAGGTAGGCTTGGCTGGCTGACGCAGCCGCGGGCGCAGGGCCCAGCACCCAGCCTCGGGGCCGAGGAGACGCAAGCAGATGCGCCCTGAGTGCCAAGCACAGCGCTGGGAAAACAGGCCAGTTTCCCTCTCTCACCTGGGGGTCGAGTGCTCCTCTCGGGGAGCTGCTCGAGGCGGGGCCGGGGGCCTCCCAGTTGGTGGTGGTTTCTCTGGTTCTTCAAATAACTTGGACAGTGGGCAGGAAGCCTCTGTGGGGGCTGGCTTTCGGCTCCCTGACCTGCCAGGAGTGCACAGGGGAGGAGAAATAAAGTAAGGGATAGCCAAAAGCCCCTGAGCACTCTTTCAACAACGCCAGCTCACCTGGGCTCCTGGCTACTGCGGGACACAGAAGGTGCTTTGCTCTTTGTTCCTGCCTCATCCTTATCAATGCTGATCCACTCTGGGGGGTGAAGAGAAAGGAGACTCAGAGGGCATGTGTGGTCCTGGATCCTTCAAATTACGCACTGGGCCTTCCAGGCCCTTCTCAGCTACTCCTCAGGACAGGTCCACCCCCCAGCTGTGGAGACAGCTTCCAAGTATTCTGGGGATTCCAACCTGCCTGCCTTGTACCCCAGGTCCTCCCCTCCTAGACCTGCCCCCACCACCCCACCTCATGCCCCACACCCCTCCCAATGGAGCCCCCACCGTAGAGTCGCTCACGGGTGCCCAGGCGCTCTGTGGGCACCCGCACCTTCATGGAGCCACGGATGTTGCCTGTTTCCTCGCCACGGTGGGACAGGAAGGTTAGGAACTGCTGGGCTGTGCTGCCAATCATGGACTTGAGCGCCACCACACACTCCCCTGAAGAGAAGATGGGGCAGAACACCAAACTGTCAAACCTTTCTAGAGTCTGCCTGGTTCTCTGTAACCATTGGCAACTCTCGCCCCTCACCATAGGATTCGTAGCCATCCATGGACTTGACAGTGAGCAGGAGGTGCTGGTCCTGCAGATACTCAATGTCAGCCAGAATCGGCTTGAGCTGGGGAGTAGAGAAGCCCAATGAGGAACCAGCCCCTCCTGCCCAAAACCATTCACCCCAATCCTTAGGCTACTGCATGCTCGCACACACTCAACTCTTAAGAAGAGGTCCTAAATCCTTAATGTAGGGCCTCCCCGGTGGCGCAGCGGTTGAGCGCTGGGTTGAGAAGCTGCCCCCAGCCTCTGCAGCGCCGGTTCGATCCCCGGCTGCTCCCCGGCCACCAGAGGAGGGTCCCACATGGCGCGCAGACCTCTCCTGCCACCCGCTGCTCCCCTCAGCAGTGTACTTTGGTCCCTCTGCCTGCTCTGCTCCCCGCTCTGGCTCTGGTGAATTCTCTCACCCTCCCGCGCTTCTGACTGTACCCAGTGCATGTATGAACAAACAAACAAATAAATGAATAAATTAAAAAAAAAAATGTTAAAAAAAAAAAAATCCTTAATGTAGCAGACACTGCTGTTCATGGGCCTTTCATCACACTTAACACCACTGTGATTAACTAATTTTCTGCATCCCCAATGGCCGACACAGGATCTGACATAGCAAAGGCTCAAGAAGTATTTACTGCAGGAATAAATGAATAAACTGCAACTTGGCCCCAACCCCACCCCAAATAAAGTAAACACCCTTATCTTCACTCATGCCCAGTCAAATACTCCTGGGCATGTGCACATACACGTGCTCTCTCTGCCCCATCCGCCCTCCCAGTCAGGATCTCTGATGCACCTGCTGCACCTCCCCCTGTGCCCTCACCCAAATCCCGCCCACAGCCTCACCGTGGGCAGCTGGCGCGAGGACCACTGCACCTTGAGGAAGTTGATGTTGTCACTGCTCTGGGCATCATTCTCAAAGCTCTTCTTGTACTCTGGGGATGGGGGACACCCAACTGAGTGCTACCTCCTGGCATCCCTCATTAGGGGGCTGACTGCTCTGGGCACCGCTACCTCCCTTCACCCTTGGCC